ATAATAAAATCCGTGAATATTTCCAGTGGGTTTACTCTCATGACCCCATGTCAGCCTCACAACAACCTTACGAGGAAGACTACCACTGTACCCATTTTACAGATGAGAAGACTGAGGCTCAGAGGTGCAGGCCGCACGGCTAGCAAATGGTAGTACCAGGATGTAGCCCCCAGGCTTGTGCGACTTCAAACCCAGGTTCTTCCCCACTTTACTGAAGGGGCGCAGGTACTGCCATGAGACTTAGTGGATTTGTCCAGCTAAAGTGGGGCCTGCCACCTCGGAAGCCCCTGAGGCTTCGTCTGGGCCACCCCACCTCCTCTCGGGTTTAATGACTGGTGGCTTCTGTGCCTGTTCCCATGACTAGGAGGGTGAGGGTGGCAGTGGATGATGCTGGGACATCTGGACTTCCCCTGACTCCCCAGCAGAGCTCTCTTGGTACTCATTTGGGTCTAAAACAGGGGGCACCACCACTTCCCCTCCCCCAGAGATAGGTGACTTTTCTTTACGGAATTTGCCACCACTTGATGATGAATTACAGCTCGTTGGTGGTCTCCCTCCCTCCCGAGGGAAAGCTTCATGAGGGCAGTGGCTTTTGTATCATGTTCCCGGATGTATCCTGGAACAGTGCCTGGAGAGTAGGTGAAAGATCGAATGAATAAACACCTGCCCCCACAACTAAGAAATAACTTCATTATTATTTTTTGCTGAAGGACAATACAGTTTTGTTTATTTGGTTTGGTAATCCTCACCCGATAGCAGGTACCACCACTTCCCCTCCCCCAGAGACAGGTGACTTTTCTTTATGGACTTTGCCACCACTTGATGATGGATTACAGCTCTTTGGTGGTCTGTCTCCCTCCTGAGGGAAAGCTTCATGAGGGCAGTGGCTTTTGCATCATGTTCCCGGATGTATCCTGGAACAGTGCCTGGAGAGTAGGTGAAAGATCGAATGAATGAACACCTGCCCCCACAACTAAGAAATAACTTCATTATTATTTTTTGCTGAAGGACAATACAGTTTTGTTTATTTGGTTTGGTAATCCTCACCCGAGGATATTTTCCCCCCACTGATTTTTAGGGACAGTGGAAGGGATTGGGAGAGGGAAACATCAATGTGAGAGAAATACATCGATTGGTTGCTTTCTACACGAGCCCCGACCAGAGCCTGGGCTGGGGAAGAGCCTGCAACCTAGATACATGCCCTTGACCAGAATCGAACCCGGGACCCTACGCTCTAAACACTGAGTCAAAGCAGTTAGGGCAATACAGTTTTATATAAAGTGAGGTCCCTATATTTGCTCAAGAGCTACCCCTAAAGGTAGATTTCATTACTGAGCATCCCTCTAAGCGAACTTGGACCAGCCCCAGAAGGCCTGGGGGCTATGGTCCAGGTGGAGTACAGGGTACAGGCAGAAATTACTCCTAGTGAAGACTCCATAAATCCACCTGAGCTAAACCTCCCACGTATGTCCCTGGGACGTCTTGTGACCTGCGGTACTAGTGTAGTTTGGACTCAGATCTGAAGGATGAGGAGGTGTTAACTAGGAAAAGTGAGACAGGGAGGAGGAGTGGTCTAGACGAGCATGGGCAAAGGCTCGGGGGAGGAAGGGGGCCGTGTGCCTCAAGCACAGAGGGCCATTGATAACGTGCTCTGAGACAGGCTGGAGGAGGCCCAGCGTAGGTGGGGCCCAGGCTGTGTAGAGCCTTGTGGTCCATGCTAAGGCTTTTGTTCTTCACCCTAAGAAAATGCGCAGCTGCAGCAGGGTTTCACACAGAGGATGGTACAATCAGATCCAGCGGAGGGTAGTTAACTGGAAAGAGCATTGGCCCTAGCCAGTTTGGATCAGTGGATAGAGTGTCGGCCCGCGTGGACTGAAGGGTCCAGGGTTCGAATCTGGTCAAGAACACATACCTTGGTTGCAGGTTCCCCGGCCCTGGTTGGGGTGCATGCAGGAGGCAACCAATCGGTGGGTATCTCTCACATTGATGTTTCTCTTTGTCTCTCCCTCTCCCTTCCACTCTCTCTAAAAATCAATGAAAAAATATCCTTGGGTAAGGATTAACAACAACAAAAACACAAACTATAAAAAATAATTTAAAAAAATTAAAAAAAAGTGGTTTGGACCCACTCCAACCCTCCTCTGCCCACTATCCCACATCCCAAGGCAGCGGTGACCCCATCTCATCTGAGGCCCCAGTTTACAACGTACAACAGTCCTCTCAGGTCCCACATGTGCAGGCCCAGGTGGCTGAGCAACCACTGTCACCTGGTGGTACCAGGGCAGGGACAGCTGGGTTCAGGCAGAGAAATTCTGCAGGCTCAGACCTCGATAAGCTTCACATGCTGAGCTATGTCACCTAGTCAGTCACCTGCGCCCCTCCAACCGCTCCTGGGCCTTAGGCCTAAAACACAAAAAGGCTCCGCGAGCGGCAGACACTGCACAGGGCTCTTTGTGGCTCCTTCCATCCTCATGACAACCTCGGAGACAGGCATTTTACAAATGAGGGCACTGTCCAAGAGGACTCAGTGAGGAAGCCACAGAGCTGGGACCTGAGCCCACATCTGTCTGATGCTGCACGCAGGACTGTCAGGGTTGCAAATGCTAACGTGCTGTGATGTGAGCATTCCACTTCTAGTGCCGGGCGGCCTCCTCGCCTGGAACTCAGCCACCCCCATCGCTGCCTCTTACATCTTCTTACTGAGAGCAGAAACAGGTTATCCACAGGGTTCCTAGAGCCTCTAAAGCCGCGGTCGCCAACCGGTGGTCCGTGGACCACTGGTGGTCCTTGAGGTCAGAAAGGTTGGTGACCGCTGCTCTAAAGAAACACCCTAGCCCTGACCGGTTTGGCTCAGTGGATAGAGCGTCGGCCTGCGGACTGAAGGGTCCCAGGTTCGATTCCAGTCAAGGGCATGTACCTGGGTTGTGGGCACATCCCCAGTGGGGGATGTGCAGGAGGCAGCTGATCGATGTTTCTCTCACATCGATGTTTCTAACTCTCTATCCCTCTCCCTTCCTCTCTGTAAAAAATCAATAAAATATATTTTAAAAAATAATAAATAAA